GGGACATAACAACAGACACTGAAGAAATACAGAGAATCATCAAGTCACACTTTGAAAATATGTACTCCACAAAATTGGAAAATTTAAAGGAAATGAACAATTTTCTGGACAGATGTCACTTACCAAAATTGAACCAAGAACGGATAAGCAATTTAGACAGAGCTATAAGCCCTAAGAAAATAAAATCAGTCCTCAAAAGTCTCCCAACCAAAAAACGCCAAGGCCCAGATGGCTTCAGTGCAGAATTCTACCAGAAATTCAAAGAAGAGCTAATACCAATACTCCTCAAATTGTTTCACACAATAGAAACAGAAGGTTCATTGCCAAAATCTTTTTAGGAGGCTACAATTACCTTTGTACCCAAGCCACACAAAGACACAACTAAGAAAGAGAACTATAGACCAATCTCCTTCATGAACATTGGTGCAAAAATACTCAATAAAATACTGGCAAACCGAATCCAAGAACATATCAGAAAAATAATCCACCATGATCAAGTAGGCTTCATCCCTGGGATGCAGGGTTGGTTCAACATATGAAAATCCATCAATGTAATCCACCATATAAACAAACTGAGAAAGAAAAATCACATGATCATCTCACTAGATGCTGAAAAAACCTTTGACAAAATCCAACACCCCTTCATGATAAAGGTCCTGGAGAGATCACAGATAACAGGAACATACCTGAACATAATAAAAAACAATATACAGTAAGCCAACAGCCAACATGAAACTAAATGGAGAGAAACTCAACGCAATTCCTCTAAAATCAGGAACAAGACAAGGCTGTCCACTCTCTCCATACCTCTTCAATATTGTACTTGAAATTTTAGCTAGAACAATAAGACAACAAAAGGAGATCAAGAAAATACAAATTGGAAAGGAAGAAATCAAACTTTCATTTTTGCAGATGATATGATAGTACATAAGTGACCTGAAAAACTCTACCAGGGAGCTCTTACAGCTGATAAACACCTTCAGCAAAGTGGCAGGATACAAGATTAACTCAAAAAATCAGTAGCCCTACTATATATAGATGATAAGAGGGCTGGGAAAGAAATCAGAGAAACATCACCCTTTACAATAGCCACAAACAACATAAATTATCTTGGGGTAACACTAACCAAACAAGTGAAAGACCTGTATAACAAGAACTTTGATGCTTTAAAGAAGGAAATTAAAGAAGATACCAGAAAATGGAAAGATCTCCCATGCTCTTGGATAGGTAGGATCAACATAGTTAAAATGGCAATCTTTCCAAAAGCAATCTACCAATTCAATGCAATCCCAATCAAAATACTGGCAGAATTCTTCATAAACCTTGAAAGAACAATACTCAACTTTGTATGGAGAAACAAAAGACCCAGAATAGCCAAAACAGCCCTATACAATAAAGGAACTTCTGGAAGCATCACAATCCCTGACTTTAAGCTCTATTATAGAGCTATAGTCCTCAAACAGCTTGGTATTGAAACAAAAATAGACAGGTAGACCAATGAAATCGAATTGAAAACCCTGATGTTAACCCACATACCTAAGAACACCTGATTTTTGACAAAGGAGCTAAAGAAGCTTCTTGAACATTACACTTGTAACACAGACACTGAAATGACAATTAATAAATGGGACCTCCTGAAACTGAGAAGCTTCTGTAAGGCAAAGGACACAGTCAGCAAGACAAAATGCCAGCCCACAGACTGGGAAAAGATATTCACCAACCCCACATCTGACAGAGGGCTGATCTCCAAAATATACAAAGAACTCAAGAATCAAACAATCAAAACACCAAACAATCCAATTAAAAAGTGAGTTACAGAACTAAATAGACAATTCTCAATAGAGGAATCTAAAATGGCTGAAAGACACATAAGAAAGTGCTCAACATCCTTAGCCATCAGGGAAATGCAAATCAAAACAACTCTTACTCCAGTCAGAATGGCTAAAATCAAAACAGCAATGATAACTTATGCTAGAGAGGATGTGGAGAAAGGGTAACACTCTTCTACTGCTGGTGGGAGTGAAAATTTGTACAGCCACTTTGGAAATCAGTATGGCAACTCCTCAGGAAAATGGGAATCAGTCTACCACAAGATCCAGCAATTCCACTCTTAGTCATATACCCAAAAGAAGCACATTCATACAAGGAAATCTGTTCAGCAATGTTCATGGCAGCATTATTTGTAACATCCGGAAACTGGAAGCAACCTAGATGCCCCTCAACTGAAGAATGGATACAGAAAATGTGGTATATTTACACAATGAAGTACTTTACTACTTGAAATTTGCAGGAAAATGGATGGAACTAGAAGAAAACATACTGAATGAGGTAACCCAGTCACAAAAAGACAAACATGGTATGCACTCACTCATATATGGATTTTAGACACAGAGCAAAGGATTGCCAGCCTACAATCCACACCACCAGAGAAGCTAGACATCAAGGAGGACTCTAAGAGAGATATATATGGTCCCCCGTTGAAGGGGAAAGGGACAAGATCTCCTGAGCAAATTTGGAGCATGTGGGAGGGGAGAGTCAGCTAGGAAAATGAGAAGGGGAGAAGAGCAGGGGTGAAGAGGACCTAAAGGAGCAGGAAGGTTGTGTAGGAGGAAGAATAGAGGAAAGCAAAATAAGAGATACCATCAGAGAGGGAGCCAGTATAGGTTTAAAGAGAAATCAGGCACTAGGGAAATGCCCAGAGATCTACAAGGATGACACCAACTAACCATCTACGCAATAGTCTAGAGGCTACCTTAAACGCCCTCCCCTGATAATGAGATTGACGACTAACTTACATGCCATCCTAGATCCTTCATGCAGCAGCTGATGGAAGTAGAAGCAGATACCCACAGCTAAACACTGAACAGAACTGGAATCCAGTTGCAGAGAAGGAGGAGTGATGAGCAAAGGGGTCAAGACCAGACTGGTGAAATCCACAGAAACAGCTCACCTGAACAAGGGGGAGCTCTTGGTCCCCAGAATGGTCACTGGGAATCCAGCATGAAACTGATCCAGACCCCATGAATGTGGTTGTCAGTGAGGAGACCTTGAAAATCTATGGGGCCTCTTGTAGTAGATCAGTATGTATCCCTAGCATAGGAATGGACTTAGGGAGTTCATTTCACATAGAGGGTTACTCCCTCAGCCTAGACACACGGGAGAGGGCCTAGGCCCTCTAAAGACTCTAAAGACCCCCAGCCCATGGTAGGCCTCACTCTTCCTGGGGATCAGAAGTGGTATGGGATAGGTAGGGTGTTAGTGGGGAGGGGGTCAGGAGAGGGAAACAGAAGAACTGTGATTGACATGTAAAATGATCTTGTTTCTAATTTAAATTTTAAAATGGAGAAAAAAAGAATAAGTTCCTGTTTGTCCTATGTTTGTTTGACCCATCTGCCATAGATGTGCTTGGTCACATGTGGGCAGGAGGTACCTGAGCAGGAAATATACCAGGATGTATGCTTGCTCCTGATTGGAAAAGTATAGTGAATTATGGGTTTTGCCTCTTTCAGTCCCTGCAAACACATGACTCATGGCTATTTCCTGGGAATCCAGAGATGTACCTGGCCAGAACCCATCCTGGTCAGACTTTAACTAAAGAGCATTTCAAATTTGGCTTTAATTTTTGGTAGTGGTCTTATTCTCAACCAGCAGAATTGACAGAGCCTCTGAGAAACATCTTATACTCAAATCACAACATCATCTAAGTTTCTCATTAACCCCATAACCCAGTGGTTCTCAACCTATGGGTTGCAGCTCTTTGGTGGTCAAATGATTCTTTCACAGGGGTCATCTAAGAGTATCTGCGAGTCAGATATTTCCATTACGATCCATAACAGTAGCAAAATTACAATTATTATGTAGCAACAAGATAACTTTATGATTTGCGGTCACCACAACAATAAGGGACTGTATTAAGGGGTCAAATCATTAGGAAAGTTGAGAATCACCACTATAACCCTAGGTATTGTTCTCATTTGATAGGTATGGAAAACCAAGCTCAGAGAAACTAATTTTGAAGATCTTACCTACTGTAAGTGGTAGTATTAGGATGAACCCAAGGAGGAAGACGAGCTCATTTCTGTCCTGAATCACAATGACCTATATCTGACTCTATTTGAGGCCATGGGACAGTCATCCTGGCTCTGCTAACCACAAAAACATTCCAGATGTGGCCACTTGTTGAGAATTTTGCAAACTTGGAAAACCCTAGGAATACTTCTGTATGCCTGATAAAATCATCCTCTCCTTGGAGATCTGAATTCAACATTTCAACCCTGAAGTCCCAATTGGTAGCACAAGTGAGGGTTGTAGTTCTGTGAAACAGCTTTTGAGCTGGACCGATTCCAGTTTGCCTTGTTCACCCACCGCTCTTAATTTACAAGAATTGCGTCACTCTATGAGTGTCAGTTTCTCCATTTGCCAAATGAAACCAATGTGGTATTGAGCTAAACAAAAGTGCTTAGGCCAGTGCCCACCGTACAGCAAGAGGAAACAGTGACATAGTAACAGTGGCAATGTTCAGACAGCCAAGATGCCTTAAAGGCCCCTGAGATTATGGTGGACATTTTGGAAGGGTTGCAACTTCAAAGTTAGGGCATCACATAGAAATGGAATTTCAAATAAACAATATATAAAAAGTAACAGCATAAGTATCTCCCAACTATTGCATGGGATTTAAATTTTTTTTTTTTTTTTTTTTTTTTTTTTTTTTGCTATTCTTGCTTTCAATCTGAAATCCCAGAATACGAAGCCGCCCAATACTTGTTAAATATGGCAACTCCAGGTCTCAACCTCATCACCCAGTCTCCTCCTGTGCAATGGGACCCTGACCAGGCGCACTGGTCGATCCCAGAGGGGCAGCATGCTGCGTGTCCAGCCCAGGCAGCACTAGCGGCACCAGAGCGGCCCGGCCCCGCCCCGCCCGTTCCTCTGGGCGCCGAGGGCAGGTTCCAGAAACTGTTCCGGCGGGGCTGCGGGGCGGTGTGGAGTCTCTCCCGCCCTCCAGGCAAGTCCAGAAAGTCTCTAGCCATGTCATTTGCGGAGGCGGGGGATGTTTTCCACAGAGCCCGGGGCAGGACCCTGGACGCGTTTTCCTCAGGTACTGCTTGGCTCTTCGCCCGGGAAGGGGGCCTGTAGCACTGCGGAACCCTCCGCGCAGGGAACTCTCCGGTTACGGAGCACACTTCCAGCCGGACCCCTTCGCCGGTTGCACACCGGCGTAGGAGTTGCGCCTTCCTGCCGGTGCTGAGTTCTTCACTGGCCTTGCCTTGACCTTGCAAGCAAAAAGTGAAAGAAAAAAAAAAAAAAAAAAGGAAAGAAACGGTAGTCGGGTGGAGACGGCAGAGAAATGAGTAACTGTCTTGGCTCTGCCGTGGAACCTATTTTTCGACTTCTTCAGCTTCCTCACCCATAGAAGTGGACCCTGAGGTTATGGGAGGCGAGCTTATCAGAGGCACCTGACAAGGGCTGGTTGCCTGTCAGAGGTTGTGACGTGTAAGATTGTATTTTATACCCCACAACTCCGGCTGTTTACTATAACAGTGGGGAGGGAAGACAGTCTGTGTCCTGGTAACGTTCTTGGACGTTGGTATTAGCCTCAAAGGGAACATTAACACATTCTTTCTGTAACCTAGGGTGGAACACATACTAGATGCTAACGCGATTGGTTCCTGGTCCCCTCTGTTTTGTTTTGTGTCTTTGGGGTTGATCTCAGGCACTTAGCTTAAAACCCCAGGAAAGTTCACTCCTCTTGACTCTTGCAGTCCTGTCTTGCCTCGTTCTCCTGCCTCCAATTTGCCTGAAATGCTCTGAAAAAGGAGCAGGCTGGTTCCAAACCCCGGAGGGCCTTGGCACCCTCTCTTCTCTGCTCTCACGGCCCCTGGTGGGACTGTGAAGTCTGGCTCCTTCTCAGCCTTCACATCCTATTTTCAAGTTCATTTCTCCAGTCTTACCTCTGGCTGCCTAGCCAAAGTAGATCAATTTCCTATTCTCTCCTAGGTCTTTGGTTCTTTTCCCTCTTTACAATTCAAGGTTCTGCATGACTGCACAGCCAAAACTCCACTTGTGATTGACTGGGGAAAGTGCAATCTGCTATGTTACCATTTTCTACAATTTTTAATGTGTCTTGGTTTTTGGTTGTTTGTTTCCCTATACGTTTTTGAGATACACCAATAGTACTATAAGTTGTTCTTATTTCCTTATGGGCAGTATTCCATTGATTGAGTATATGGCTTGTACATTTTGTTAATGGATGTGCTGAGCCTTCTCCAACTTGGTGTATTTCTTCTTTCTTTCCATCTCCAAATTTCCCTTTCCCACCGTGCTTTAGGAGAGTGACTACTATGGACAAGCAGCAGTGAATTCTTTGCCCTAGACTTTAGAAAGGCTGGAGAACTGGGCAAGGAAGAGACTCAGCCAATGGGAAGCTCCCACAGAAGATCAGGGTGGAGGCAAATCAAAACACCAGCACATTTATTACTGCACTTGATGCCCTTACAAGGTTTCCTTTGCAGACTGTACTCCTCCCCTGCATGCACTGCTACTCTCAGCAATCTATTTTTTCAGACTCTTTTTCTAGATTGTGGCCTCTGAGCGACAGTTGCTCTGTCTTTTGGTGGCTAAACTATCCTTCCTAGTTTCTTTACATTCAACCCATCCCAAACAATTCTTTTAAAGATGACTCCTGACATTTTTCTTAATTTTAGTATGTTAACTATTTCTTTCTTGGTCCTGCCTGGTACAGTAACCTTTTGGTTATTTGCGATTCATCCTTGTTAACAGTGTTGCAATAAGCCTTCTGTAGAATTGCTTCAGGAGCAAGGATGTATGTTCTAAATGTAATCACTCCCAGATTTACCAGGTGTCATCAAATTACCTTCCAAAGGGATGTTCCATCCATGTTCCCTTCAGGAGACAGCAGAGTCTCCTGCTATAGTTCTTTTCAGTCTGAGAAACACTTAGCATGTTTCATTTACACTCTCTAGTAAGTTGTGGGGAATAGAAGAAGAAGGTGACAAATTCCCACTCCTCAGGCTCCAAACCTAGGCATAGATCTGTGGAACACAATAGCCATCCCTGGTACTCTGTGGCCACTGAAGTGGGAGGAGTCAGGATTTTAAGTACTTGGCCATGCTTTATGGCTGGGCTGGAGGTGGGGGTGGGGGAGGAGGTGGGGGGCATTGATTGGCATCAGAGAGTGGATTTGAGATGTCGTCTGGAACTCTGAATACTGCAAGTTTAGGGAGGTATGGATGGGGTTCTTTGCTAAAAGATTTGGAGGCATTATTTTGAAGGGGAACAGTGTACCCCAGTGGGTGGTGCCTGTATGTTGTATGTACTGTGTGTTTACTATTCAGACAAATGTAGCATACATCAAAGATCCAAGAGCAGAAACAGCCAGAAATCCTGGAAAAACCAGCAGCCAGTCTCGTGGCACCAAGCCAGGCAGGAAGGCCTTGTTCAGCAGGAAGGCAGTAGTGTCAGACGCCACAGAAATATATGTGAATGTAAGCTGAGCTGCTGAGGGGCCGTTCAGCCACTGTGGGAAGTCAAGCCCTAAGTCTGTAGAGACAGATGTCACACAACCATCCAAGGAGTTCAGTTAACTCAAGCAACTGTCCCTACTTTACACCATGCCCACAGTCCAGAATTAGCCACCCATCCCCTAAATGAATAAGTGATTCACCTGAGTGACAGTACTCCCTTTTCTCTAGGTTTTTGGTAAGAGAGTCTTAGTTTCAACCATCCTGTTAACATAGTCTGCTCTGCTCTCTGATGGAGTTTATAGGAAATAAAATGTAAATGTCTCACCTGAGCAAGTTCATGTTCCTACGTCCTGTTCAGGCACTCATTTCAATTAGGAGAATTGATAATTATAGTTCTTTGACACATATCCTAATTAGTGACATAGTTCCTAATTAGAACTTTTTCTGCATGTAACAGTCTTCTTAGAGGTTTACTGCATCTGTTCTGAAGGAATTTTAAAAGGGAGAAACCAGGACAAAGGTGCTTTTTAAAATTGTGTTTAAGGGCCAACAAGATGGCTCAGAGGGTAAAGGTGTTTGCCACCAGGCCTGAAGACCTAAGTTTGATTCTGAGAGCCCACATGGTAGAAGACCAACTCCTGGTGTGTGCCTAGGTATGTGTACACCCACACCCACACAAAATAAATAATAAAATGTAATCAAATTGTAATTTGTTCTGAGGTACTAAATTTATTTTTTTCTGAACACCTCCCCCCCCATCAGATATTTTTACCTCTTTGGATAGCTTCCTTTAAAAGATTGTTTGGGGGCCTGGGGAGATAGCTCAGCATTTAAGAACACTTCCTGCTCTGCTAGAGGACCTGACCTCAATTCCCAACACCCAACTCAGGTGGCTTATGACCAAAGGGATCTGTCACCCTTTTCTGGATTCTACAGACACCCAGATACATGTAGAATACACTCACACAGGTAAACCCATAGGTATGCATAATTTTAAAGGTCTGTATTTTAAAAATAATAAATAAAAAATTGTTTTCCTGGACATTTTACACCTCTGCAGCTGCCTTGTAGGAAGTGATTGTTTTTGTTAATTTGGAACATTTCTTGGTCCTTCCTGTAAATCGTCTCAGTGCAGAGAATAAGTGGATTCTCAGTGGAAATAATCAAGTTTAAACAGTTGTAACAGGGCAGAAGATGAAGTGAGAGCTCCAGTTGTGCCTTTTCATTTAGGACAAATTAGTTCTTTCTTATTTGAAGAGGGTTCTGTTCAATAAAAGCTGTGGGAGGGAACGGATTTGGCCCAACAGCCTAAATCAATACAGAGTGTAATCACAGTAGCTGAACTCGGGCTGGTTGTGGAAGGCCCTGTGGTGATAACTGAGCTATAAGCTATTAACTAGGTGAGCTGTAGCTCAGTGACTGTTGGACTGACTACACTATAGCCAGTTAAATTGCTTCCGAATCTTCACTTCTGTTTTCCGTTACTCACTTAAATGCTACCTGGCCTGATGCTGGAGTTCTCAGAACCTGCTAGCTCTAAGAGCTGCCTGCTCACAAGACATCTTTGTTTTGTTTTGCTTTGATCAAATAACTGAACTAAATTTAATTGCTTAAAGAAAGTTCCTATGACTAAGTAGGATGTCAGTCCTTTCACACTTCCTCATTGTAACAACCATCTAAGAGATCCAGTGATCAGCGTACATTTATGTGTTTAAAAAGGTCACACTCTTCAGGGCATTGGTGGCGCATGCCTTTAAACCCAGCATTCGGGAGGCAGAGGCAGCCATATCTCTGTGAGTTCGAGGCCAGCCTGGTCTTCAAGGAAAGTTCCATGACAGTCTCCAAAACCTACAGAAAAACTGTCTCAAAACACACACACACACACACACACACACACACACACACACACACACACACACACACACACACACC